ACACTCATTGGACTGGGTAATTACTGTAGCAACTCCAGCCCTAATTTGAAGTGTTAGCTGTTAATTAAACCACCACAGAGGTGTAGGGTTGTCTTTGGGTGTAACCAAAGCTCCTATTCCAACTTCATTAATCACTTTACAGTTATTGTCTTGGGGAAGGTCAGGACAATGGAGATGCTGGAGCAGCCTGGAGTAAACAAATTCCTGTCCTCCCAGGTAGCATGGCATTTGCAGAGCCACTGGCCACAGGTCCCTGTGGGCTTGGTATCTCCTTTGGGATCCAGTTCTCAGCCATAATTAAATGTTAAATTGGTGCTGTCAGTGCTCTGTAAACCAAACCAGGTATCTGCCCTCTGCTGGAAATCCAACCCCAACCTCCACGGATGAATTAGCGTGCATCATAATTAAATAATCAAGTCTTCCCTTTTAATTCACTTGGAAACAGGAGATCTCTCTTATGGAAAAAGGATCAGCTTTCTTGACAAGCTAATTAAGTTGCCAAACTGGCCTGCACAGGCCCCATTAAGCCACCAGACGTTGAGCATGTTATCTCAACCTGTTCATTCGCTTATCATCTCTGCTCATCTTAAGCCCATGTTTTGCCACTGTTGATTCCTCCCTAGCTGCAGCAGAGTTCATGGATTCGCTCAGCTCCTGCTCTATCACAGCTCTTGGGGGATGATTTTGCTTTCTGTACTGATATTAAATCACTGATTTCTTTTGCTCTGCCTCTTCATACCTAAAAGCTGCTGCTTCTGTAACCACTCGGTTACAGAAACGTTCATCCGTGAGTTATTAAATTAAGGTGAAGTTTTTTGGAAACTTCTGAGCTATGAACAGAAATTATAGGAGAGGTCAGGGCTATAAATAAAATCAAATAAGTCTCACCCCCTCTCGGTATGATTTTGCATGCAGAACCCCAACTAAAAGCTTTTCTTCACTAATACCTTGAGCATGTTGTCTCAACCTGTTCATTCTCGTATCATTTCTGCTGAAGTCTGTAATGTTTTGCCACTGTTGATTCCTCCCTAGTTACAGCAGTTCATGGATTCACTCAGCTCCTGCTCTGTCACAGCTCTGCTGGATGATTTTGCTCTCTGTACTGATACTAAAGCACTGATTATTTTAGCTCTGCCTTTTTGTTTGCTGCTGCCACTTGGTTACACAAATGTTCATCCATGAGTTATTAAATTAAGGTGAAGTTTTTAGAAACTTTAGAGCTATTAACAGAAATTACAGGAGCTCTCAGGGTTATAAATAAGATTAAACAACAGTCTCACCCCGTCTAGGTATGATTTTGCATGCAAAACCCCCCAACTATTAAAGCTTTTCTTCTTCAGTAATAATTGCTAGAGGTACAGAGTGGTAAAAGATTATAATTCTTTAAAGTTAGTGCCTCATCTATGACATTACTGTGCCTAGTGCCATAAATCAGTCTGAGACAGTAAAACTAGCGAAGAGGAAAACCTTTTAATAGTTTTGTTTTTATGCAAAATTACATTGGATTTTGAGGAGATTTTTTTTTCCTACCTACCTTTGTTTCCTTAGCAGTTCCTGGGGAGGAATGTGCAAGTCATTGTTAAATAGCCAATTAGAAGTGTTTGTCTGCAGAAATGAAGACAAAGTGCAGTTGAAATGCTCTGGTGAATTATTTGAGTACCTGTGAACATTAACACTAGTTCATTTTAACCTTATATGTGCACTCCCAAACACTAACCTTAAACAGAAATACAGGGATTTAATTCTGCTGCTCTTTTCTGTGGGTCTTGGGATAAAGAATTGAGCAGAACCTGCTTCAATTCATTTAACTGAGGCAGTAACATTCCCCCTGAACATACCCACAGGGCTGGGAGACTTGTGAGATAAACCTGATTGTACCTGAAAATTGGGAATAATGATTATATCCTAATGGATTTCATGGAAAGAAGGTGTGAAAGTGGATAAATTCAAGGTTGGACTCAAAGATTTGAGGTTGGACTTGATGATCGTGGAGGCTTTTTCCAATCTAAATGACTCTTAAATTCCTGGTTATAAGTTTGATGTTCTGCTGTATCAGTGTCTTAAATGTGTCTATTTTACATCAACCATGCAGATAGAAACCTTGAGAAATAGTTTTATTGTAAATATGCCATTTTCATCCATTGTTTTCATCAGTTTTCCTTCCAAGTTGTGGATAAAATTGGCTGTACATAAAACAGATAAGCTCCAAGTCAGTTTTCTGTGGAACTAATGTATCCACATTGCACATTTGTATAGAGAAAATTGTATGTGATCTAAAATTGGTGAATTTTTTCCCCTCCCACAGGGCATATCACGTCCGGAGTGGAAAAATCCTGGCAGTGAAGGTAAGAGATTCAATCATTTTCCTTCTCTCCATTCTTTCTTTGGTTTTCCTTCCCTTCCCTCTGATTGTTACATCTCAGTTTGCTTTGTTGCATTAAATCCACATTGTATACACAGGAAAATCACAGCCCATAAATTTAGCAATTCCAAATGAGCACAGAGTCCCCAAATCCAGGGTTTGTCCTCTGGGAATTGTCTGTAGGTACCAGCACATCATCTTCATGGCTCCATGAGCATGGCCAAGTGCAGTTGAGTTTTTGGTTGGGTTCCTTGCAGTGAAGCTGGAAATGTACCTTTATGTAGTCAGAAAAAGAGCAATTTTCCTCTGAAATTCAGGTCAAACTCTTATACAATAAGGGCAGATTTTCTCTGAAATCTGATTACAATTGTGGTAAAAAACCCGACAAATTTTCTCTGAAAATCAGGCAAAATTGGTAAAATAAGAACAGATTTACTCTGAAATTCAGGTCAAACTGGTAAAATAAGAGCAATTTTTTTCTGAAATTCAGGTAAAAATTTCTGTCAAGTTTAGGTGAAACTGTGGTACAATAATGGTAAATATTCTGTGAAATTCAGGTCATAAAACTAGTGAAATAGTAGGAAATTTACTCTGAAGTTCAGGTAGAATGTGGTAAAATAAAAATAAATTTTCTCTGAAATTCAGGTAAAGCTGTGGCAAAATAATAGCAAATTTTATCTGAAATTCAGGTCAAACTGTTGTAAAATAATACTGACATTAGCCCAACTCTTGCATGCAGCTGAATTAAATTATATTTTTTTAATTAAACTATTAATTCAGTTAATCTGCACAAAAATTTTGAAATAAGTACTTTTAAATGTGGTTTTTTTCAGACAGCTTCTTTGAAACTCAAAGCAGTAGAGACTTGGAAAACAAATTGTTGCATTGATAAAATCCCAGTTAATTGTTTGTGATCTAAAAAAGGTATAGCTAAAAATAAAAAGATATATTTTAGAATGTACTTTATGGAATAATTACTTAAAAATATGTAAAAATGAGGAACTGCCTCATTTATCTTTTTTTCCCATCTTTATCTAGTCCTTAAATTCTGACATAATTGAGTTAAAACTGTAGGAATGGAAGTTAGAGAGGAATTCTCCTGGCTGTAATAGGCACAAAAGGACAGAAAATTTCATTATCAAGTGTAAATGTTATTACAGCTTTCAGTCAGGAGCTAAGAAAGCTCTTCCCTAGGTGCTGGGGTTGGGTAAGGATGTGCCTTTCCTTGGGACCTGCTCCATTGCCTCCTCAGATGATCTTTTCCAAGCTCCACAGGGAGCATCCCTGAGACTAGAGCTGGAGGTGCCCTCAGAATGTGCCTGGAGAGGAGGTGGAGCACAAGAACATTCCAGAAGTTCACCCAGGCAGGAGGGGCAATGAGTTCACCCTTTGCAAGGTTAATTGGGATCACCTCCCTCTGGCAGAAAACCTTTTCCCCAACAACTTCATCTTCTTCCCTTGGAGTCCACGGGGTTGGTTAGTCCTGGTGGATCATGAGCATCCTGGGGATTTGGGAAGCTGAGTTCTCTTGGAGGTTCTACTCCTGCTGGTCCTGTTACGCACAGTTATATTTGATTAGTGTGATTTTGAGAGAGATATTAGTAAGAAAATTAAACCTAATGCATCTATGTCTTCATAGTATGTTAAGGGGTTGGAATGGAGCTTAGGGATCATCCAGCCCCACCCCCCTGCCCTGGGCAGGGACACCTCCCACCAGAGCAGGTTGCTCAAGGCTTTAGCCAACCTGGCTGTGAACACTGCCAGGGTTGGGGCAGTGCCAACATCTTGGCACTATCATCACATGGATCAAGTGTTTTGACCAGGTTGATAGGAGCATTACTGGATTGTACTGGAAAGGCAGAGTTCTGCATTTTGGGACTTTCTTTGGGTGATGATAGAAAGATTTATGATTCAGTCCTAGAATCACGTATCTATGATTCAAATATCTATCAAATAGCATATCTAAATCTATCAAATATCTATTATTCTGTTGGATAGAACAGGATAATACTTCCAAAACTACCCTGTCAGGGTGTTGGAGAGAGCTATAAGATCATCCCTGAGCCTCTTCTCAAGCCCTTCCCCATGTGCTCTGCCCTTTGCTGCCCTCGTTGCCCTTCGCTGGACTTGCTCCAGAGCCTCAATGGCCTTTGGGCAGTGAGTGCCCAAAGCTGAGCACAGCACTGAGCTGGGACCTCCCCAGTGCCCAGTCCAGGGGGATGAGCACTGCCCTAGTCCTGCTGCCACACTGGGCTTGAGCCAGGCCAAGATGCCCTTGGCCTCCT